AAAAAAAAAAAAAAAAAAAAGTAGACTTAGTTCGACTCTCGTTTTGGCTGACCTAGTTCGATGTTTAACCTTATGGAAATATTGATATAATTAAACAAAAAGACGGAGGGTGTAATTTGGTTTCTCTTAAGGAAAGGATTTTAATATATGCCTTTGTTTGGACATGGTCATAATGATCTCAAAAGCACAGATTAACAATTTTGACTTTGATTCATTTTCATTGCACTAATTAAGTACAAAATTATTATTAAAAAGAAAAACATTAGTAATGTAATACAAGGGAAAAATTAAGTTCATGAACAAATTTTTTGGTGTGGAAGGTGATATTATATGTATATAAAAACATGTTGAAGGAATCAGACTAACGGGTAAATGTTTCTTAAATTAGCAGGCCGGATGCATGAAGAGATGTAATTGGCCAATATGATAACTTTAAAATTAGAACGAGCCTACGTATATTAGTTAATGGACAAATTTTTGTTAGGTGATTCATGCACACAGTCATAAAGATCGTTGAAGGTGTCAGATTAGCAGGTGAATAATGGATAAATATGTATTTGTTTATTAGTATGGTGAAGGGATGTAATTCACGTCTCAATATAATCATATATTATTTGCAAATGTTTGTGGGAACATCACCAACTCGTAGAAATTATCCACCTTCCCTCCGCAGACTCGACCAACTCAGTAATGAGCCTTCATGAAAACAGAAACTATATGATTCCATTGCCATCAACACCTTGAGATAATATAGTTTTGGCTTTGTTGGCTGATATTACGTCACCTTCAAAATCTGCACATTTTTTTTTTCATTCTTTCCTAAGATCTGGTTTTTTCCTTTTGGTAGTAAGATTGAACAGATCAAATTCTTAACCTATATGATATAGTATATGAACATGATACGATGTATGGTTGACGTGATGTGCTTCTAAATCAAGATAGTATATATCGATATGACTATATCATAGCTCCATATAACAGTCGAACCCCGTGAACTGCCATCGACAGTGCCAACGCGGTCAAAATGCACGTCATGGAGGTCATCAATGGCTGTGATGTCGTTGAGAATGTCTCCACCTTCGCCGCCGCCGCCAGCGAGGCGTCTACATCATGAGCGGCACCAGAACTGTCACCAACGTCACGCTCTACCGATCGACTTCTTTTGGCGCAGTCGTCACTCTCCACGAAAGGTGACTTCTCCGGTTTGACAATATACCTGGCCGGAGGACTGATTGCTTTGGGGCCAGTGGTCATCATGTCAGCTTCGTTCAGCAACGCTGTGTATGAGAGGCTTCCTTTAGAAAATGGACCACATTTTTCATTCACCAGGACTTATGTTTCATTAAGCAATGGATTATATTTGTGTATTGTATGTATTTAAAATTATATTATATACATGATTAACATTTACCATCTCTTTTTATTTATATATAATTTGGTCTATTAAAAAATAACATATAAAAAATATAGATATTTAAGTCCATTCAAAATATATCAACGGCCTAATATTTATTAATTTGGAGATTTTGTTATAAGATATTTTTAAAACAAATCAAATATTAAAAATAATTTAATACTTTTAAGATCAATTATGTCATAATTGATTTTAAAAATTTAATTTTTAAATTGGTTATGTTATAATTAGTTTTAAAAACTAAACTTTTAAAATCAGTTATTTTATAATTAATTAATATAAAATAATTAATCTTAAAAGTCTAGTTTATAATACTAATTCTTTTAAAATTAATTAAAGAATTGATTTTAAAAATAAAAATAATCAATTTTAAAAGTAAAAAAATAGTTGATTTTAGAAGTTTTTTTTCTCACTAATGCATGTTTGAGAAGTTTGTCCTAATTAACATGAGGAAGTTTGTTAGATATCTCACGTTAGAAAAAATACTTAATTTATCAAATTTGACAATTGTAATTTTAAAACATTTTATATGTAATTTTTATTAGTTATAAGGAATAAAAAAAATGCAAATTTTAGTTATTCTAGTCATGCTCAAGCTCAAATGCTTAAAAATATATGAATACAGTAGTGAAATTGAAAATAAAAAATAAGACTTTTCAATAATGAACAAGTAGTGTGAAGTAAATAACTCACCTCTAGTTCTATTATTCAACATATTATGCCATAGTTAGATTATGCCATAGATCAACAAAGAGGAAGATTCACACAAAGCTAAGATGTAAAAAAATAAAAATGGAAAACAAAAGTAGTTAAATATAAACGCCTTTATTTTAACCAATATCTCATGTGACCATCACCCTTGACCCTTCACAAGTCACCATCAGAACAACAAGCTACATAGAACTACAAAATCACCGTCACCCTCATCCCCCCATTTCAACCCCAATATGCAAATTAGGCACATTCAAACTCATTAATTACATAATCAAAGGAAAAAAAATATTGTATATTTGAGGGATAGGACAAGAACGACATTATTAAGAAGCCGTAGATGAATCTTGAAATCATCAAGACAGAGCGAGAGAAGCAAGAAAGACACTTGCCACTCACTAGGAAGAGATGAGGGGAGAAGATGTGCGATGGATGCAAGCTAAGAATACTTTACTCGAGTATCACAAATTGCATTTATTTCCTCACTTATAATTTCAATATTTTAATCTTATTTATATTTTTTTTTTGTGGTCACATTACTAATATCAACAACAAATTCCTAGTACTGGCCATGGTGTTGGATTTATTTGTTGTTGACTCTTATAATTCATAGTGTATTTTGTCTTTCATTACTTATGTCCAATCTTTTTTTTTTTTTTTTCAAAGAGTTTTACTTCACTCATTCTTAATTACACTATCACCTCTTCATCTTATCTTTTATTCTTAAAGAAAGAAGATTAGAAATAATAAATTCAAAAAAGAATTATACATTCTTACTTTACTGAATATTTCAAAAGTTTACCTATATTCAAAATATTTATAATTTAGTTTTTATTTTTATTTCTCATTTTATTTGGTATACTATACTTAGTCTGTCGTCTAACAAAGTCTTTGTATCATTGAATAATAAACATGATTTGACTTGTTTCGGATTGTCTATTCCTTGCAATATTTTTTCTTTAACTAAACATCACAGGTTTCCATTTATTTCCATAAAAGAAAAGGTTTCTATTTATTATTCATAATAATTTTTTTTATCTTCAAATTTAATCTTGTACATTAATTGTGATGTATGAGACCCTTGTCACGAGTCAACTTGTGTAGGCCAAAGGTTTTTCCTCACTCTCATGGACCACTACGACAATTTCACCTAAACTTACTTTATGTAACATAAATTCAAGAATCTATTTTTTTTTTCTTTTTTTTCAATATGACTTTTTAAATATGAATCTTTAGTCGTACAGTATATATATATATATA